TGAAAAAAGTGAAGGGGTCGAATTTCGACAACGGGGCGATACTAGTAATGTATTAAAACGTTTTAAAAGCCTATTAAATTAAGAAATGACTATGTTTGTCTATGTTTACATTAGGGTACGTGAATCCAGTCTTTATTAAATCAAAAACTACGACTCATGTCGTAATTCATTCTCTTTCAAGTTGAGGATTACGTAACTCCTTTGCTGGCGCAATTAATACGACGTGTTATGTTGTACTTACTTTTATTTGTTATCATGCGACATGCATAAATCTAAGGGTATACATTAGGGCGGTTCAGAAAAACAAAAATATTTTCCAGAGAAATCAGATTTGTTATTTTCAGAAGGGAGTAGGGTATCCTTTGAGTTAAAAAGGTGGGCAACTTTTTTTTTTTGCCAAGGAAAGGTTAAGGCAAAAGGAATTTTTCAATTGGGGTATTCAGAAAGATGTCGTAAGTGTCGTATTATTGAAGTTCGCAAACTATAAACGGCTAAATGTGTATCAGGCGGGTTCGCAAGGTACCATAAAAAAAATATTACGAATTTTCACAGTATTAAAAAATAGTTAGTTGTGGTTTAAAGTACTCTAAACATTTATTTAAGCCTTTACAGCTTACGACATATTACGGCACCGTTGTGAATACCCCAAATCTTTTTAAATACAAAATATATAATTAATAAATGCTAGTATGAATAAATATATGGATTTTTTATTTTCGAAACAAAAAAGAAACACACCTCACAAACACATCAATATTGAGTTATAATAAACATAAAATAATGAAACATTTTTAGCAGACAGTTACAAAAACAAGTACAAAGGCTTATTTACAAATGATTTGTACACAACACGATATATATGTATGTAGTATGTATGCATTATTGTTACACCGATTACAATAAGAGTAGGCGAAAAGACATACAAAGCCAACAAAATCTTACCGAGACCTGAGTGGCTGTGTAGGAATTTGCACGAGCCCTATTACTAAAGCAAACCATACGCCATTTGCGCTTCACTTGGGCAATAACTTCACCATTGAAGAAGCAGAAGAATGTGGCGACGCAGAGGCCCTGCAAGGAAATAAAAACAAAGAGAAAATTTAAATATGTGCAAATTAAATTAGGTAGCAGATATAAATTGAGAAAATAAATATTTTATTTAGGTAAATCAGGTTAAAAATCAAGTAAAGCAAAACTCATATTTTTTAGTCTATCTGTGTACAGTACCAGAAAAAAAGTTCGCCGTACACCATTCAGTCAACATAAATTATTTTTTCAAGGCGATTTCAAATTGTCAGCAACGCTCCTGCTCTGAAAGTATTCAACGCGGGTCGCGATGCTTCTCTGGGTTGGAAAAACCAGCTGCAGAATTACTTGGCTTTACTTGACATTTCCAATTGGCCTCTATTGGCATAGGAAAGAAATGACTGGCGTGCTGTTTTGGACTCGGCTAAAATCGCTTTCGATTTTCGAAACAAATTTTTTTAGCCGAACGTAGAAGTCGCCTTTTTACATTTTTCGTAATATTTCGGGATTTATAGTCGGATATTAAATAATGATTAATCGATAAAATTTTCTAATTCCAAAGCTCATTGATCTCAGGTACGCCGCTTTGTTCACCCACCAGATCTCAGTTCTTATCACCCTAACGTACCACCCTAATGTCAGTTAATTAAAGCTCTCCAAAAATCATTAAACTTTCGCTAAGGTGATATTGGGTATTCCAGTAGAGCTATAAAAAAAAAAACATCATTAACCACTGAAAAGAGTTTAACTAACAATTTTGATATTCACAATGCTCAGCTAACAAATGTTTAGACCAGCATGCCCCCATAGTTAAACTCATGTGAAATAATTTTTTTTTTTGGAACGATTTTCAGATTTGTATAGAGAAGTGCTGATTTTTAGAATTAGTATATTTCCAAGCGATATGAATTTCCATAGTTAACTATGTGATTCTGATTAAAAAGTGTGAAACCGGCCTTTAGGGGTAAACGGCAAACTTTTTTTCCTTGCTTGTTGCGATCTAGTGCACATTATAAGTTTAAACGCTTAGAAATCATTTATAAACTTTACAATAGTTACCCTCGTTTAAAAGCTTCACTTAGAAAACCTTATTAAAAACTTATTTTGAGTAGAATATTGATTTCACTCAAAGCCGGATACAATGTTAGTGCGAAGTTCTTCCTTGAAGTTGTACTACGTACAGCAGTTGTAAGCAAACGTTTATTTGTGTGTGTAAATATGTAAGTTGAATGCAATTTTCGAGTAAGCCAAAAACTTTTTGAGAATCATCAAAAATATTTAAGTCAGTCAAAGTAATCCACACACATCATTAATTTCCATGCGTATACATTGAGCACTTTTTTTTACTTTTCTAACTGCGCTTTCGCAACATTTTAAGCATTGGCCTTGTCGTACACATACACACATAGTGCATACATACTAATGCATATATTTACATTTTAAGCACTTGTAAATATGTGCATAAAATATATTCTAAATGCGTTTATTTAGCATTTCAATAGCGTAAACAGTTTGTGAGCTTAAGAGCAAATCCTGAAGAAAAGGGAATGCACTTGACCCAGTTCGGCAATAAGGGAGAGATGGGGATAAAAAAATGTAAAAAATAAATAGTCGAAAAATCTACATATAGATAGTACTACATAGTAGTAATATAGTAGTTACATACCGTTAAAAACGAAAAACATTGAATAAAATACACAGCTCATTCCTAGATATTTCACTTATGCATGAAAGCTCGTTGGCGCTCGCTTACTTACATACACACAAACATACATAGTTGTTAGAAAGTAAAAGAGTTTCCAAACGTTGCCAATATGTAATTATGAATGCAACAGAATTTAAGTTAAAAATTTTCAAGTTTTGTGCAATTTGATAGCTGCTCAAGGTTTTCGTGTTTTTTGATGCTGCGCCAGCAACCAGTTAAATTTGAAAAATTGCGCGAAAATAGCGCTAGATTTTATTAAAAAAAAAAAAAAAATGCGTGAACCTTGAAGTAAATGCACCGTCGCTATCGCTATATCGTTTGCTTCAGAAATAGAAACACATCGCCTCAGCATGGGAAATGCAACTTGAAAGTCGAAAGTTTGTCTACCTTGCACGAAAAAACAAAGAGAAAAGAATAATAAAATGGTAAAGCTGCACTAAAACTAATGCGTTTTAAGTTTATTATTTTTATACTTTTCTTGTCTCAAAAGAAATTTCGCTTTGTCACAGTGATGTTCATTGCCGTAGTTAAATGACTGTAAACTTTTGCTTTGCGCAGATACGCTTAGAAAACAGTTCACAGTTGTGAAGGAGATTACAGAAAATGCTTTTAAAGATTTGAAAGTAGTACTGCGAAGTATTTACTCTGCTCTGCTATTGTTGAAGATTTTGCTATAATTTTTCTCTTAAATTTTATTTGTTTACACTAAAGTCGCTCTGATAGTATGGTTAGATTAGAGTGGCTACCACCGCGCAGAGCAGGCATGTACACGTAAGCTGAAAAGCGCATTTGGATACCACTGGCGGAAGCCATTGTTTCCTTCCCTCCTTTAGTAGTTGAACCACTGAGTGCGTTTTGTATAGCACAGAAAGTTGAGAATGCTCGTCGAGTTCAGGTCGGCTAATCAATCTAAAAACTGCCTACTTAAGAAGTGGTTGCGCGATGTGCGCTAGTGCGGGACGGTGACACAGATAATGTTCAATGCTTTCCATCTTTTCCTCTATGCTGCTGAAGCAAAAGTCGTTGATTGGATAACCCAGAACGGGAAATTCTACTTTCATATAACATCACATATGTGAGCTCGATTTTACCCCTAAATACCTAAGACGATTAACTCTTTCCAAACGCGAGCACCTTTCGTTGCGAAACGTGGAGAAAAAGCGTCGATCGAGACTCGAAGCAATTAGGGTTAAGCCTGAAGAAGTTCAAAACGATTGCCAGAAACAGAACCAGGTGGTACGCAAGCGTAGTAGATGCCCTATGGGATTAAAGGAAACGAAATAGAATAAGTCCCTTGTTCTGATACAGTTATCAACTAATCAACTTTGCTTCAGTTTTGGATTTTTGAAAAGATGGCGTTGAGTGTTGCTGAACGTTTGTTTGCTCACATAAATGGTGTAAATGAACAAAAAATACCAGTTGAGGCCTTTTAATTGATGCAATATACATACATATGCACATATCGACGGCTGAGGGGAAGATCACCCTATCTCGGCTGTGTTTTCGAATTTTGTGAATTTTCGCTTTACACTACAACTTAAAAGCCTTGCTACACATATTTTCTGTTGAATAATTAAATTGACTTAAGGTGGAATAAGATTTTGTTTTTACTTTTACTATTTATATCGCTTGTGCTTTTCCTCCCAAGGATCCGTTTATTTCATTAGTAGCTTAATGACACATTCATATATGTATGTACATAAATACAATATGTTGGGTGCAACAATAAAACAAAATGCACATTAAAGATGTTGGCGCGCGTCATTTATTACTATGGTTACATTTTAATAAGGGAATAAATTGTAAACAATTTGTCCTTTATGTACACGAAGTGCAAGACTATAGATATGCCGAACGTTTGTATTAGGGTGATTGACTTAATTTTTCCGGATCGGGTTTAGCCGCTTTTTTCGAATGGCGAATAAACCGAAGTTTTGGGTTTTCATCTAGAATATTTTTGCGACTGCATTTTAAAATCGTCTCTAAATTCATTAAATTTTTTATTTAATTGTTTTTTTTTGTCAGTTTTCATATTAAATTATAATAAACAATAATTGTTCACTTAAATTGCTTTCGTGAAACTGGCTATTAGTGCTCTTGATGGAGTGTTCTTCAAACAAAATTTTAAAAAGCTACTCAAAATGCATACGGCTTAAAGTAATTTTTCATAAAAACACATTTTCTGAGGCACTTTAGCTAAACTAATTTATTTATATTTATTCTTCTACATCTGATTCTAGAAGGCTAAGGAAAAAACCAGTTGATCCTAAAAATTTCACTACTTTTTTATTATTAATCGAAATAACTTTCAACTTATTCCATTTAACTATATTTTAAATGAAAGCCACACCTACTTTTGTTAGCTTTGCTCCATTTTTGGATATCATTTGTAACTAACTGTAAGCATTATTCAAACGCGGAGTATCAAAACATATATCCCGTCTAACCCGATTTTTCTGAATTAAATTATTATTTTTTTTTAATTAAATTTTTTCGAATAACTCGAAACCTGGTTTTGGAAAAATGTCGAATAATCGCGCACCCTAGGCATGAAAGAAAATAATATTGTATATAATGAAGGGACGTGTGTGGAATTGTGTTGAGCATTATGGACACGTATATAAGTAGGTATGCATGCACTATGGCCTTTTTTATGCGTTCATACATTCATATGTATATAAGTATGTAGTATATATGTATTATGTACATACATACATATAACTAGCTTAGAGTAAAAAGTTGCCAAGTTCAGTTTCTCACATTTGACGGGCGAGAGTAAAAACCTTTAAAACTCATTTTCCTCAAGCACTTGTTTTGTAAAAATTGTAAAAAAAATGTCGCGAAATCTAAGCTAAACCAATTCTAAACGAATCGAATTTCACAAAGTTTTTGTAGATATTCTTTGGGACTTATCGCATTGTCTGTGATATAACTGAATAATAAATGAATAAATGGCTAGGAATAAAATAGGTAATTCGTTATTTTTGAAAAACGCTACTTTTCACTTTAAGCACTTGTATACACACCTAACAACATACATACATTCTAAAAAGTGCATATAAAACTAAGTACTACTGAAAAATGTTTATTTTTCAACCAGAATCTGTGCAAAAATACGCACAAGATATTCAAAATTTGAATTTGAACATGAGTTGTTTAAAATATACACATAAATATACAAGTAAAATGTTTAAAAGTACAAAGATTTTATATTTTTTACAAATAAGAAATATTAAACGCTAATATTTATTAAATTTTAAACACTTTCTGTGTAATTTTTCGCTACGGGACAAATTTGGTATGTAAAAGTAAACAGACAATGCTTAATTTTGCACACATTAGTAGTGGAAACTGGTTACCACTCTTTATATGCCTAAAATTGAACAAACATTTTTTAGAGAAAATTTTAAACATTTTATGTGTAAACTGTGAAATTGTGAACAATAAATGTTTAGAGCTCAAAAAACAAATTTGAAATTTGTTATACGCCACACATATGATAAGTAAAACTAAACAAGCAGTGCTTAATTTAATTGACATGGTGTATAAATTTGCATTCATTAAATGAGGAAACTGGTTACCTATCTTAAAAAGCGCAAATTTTAACAAAAATTGTTTAGAGTGTAGAATGCATGTGGGTGCTGGAAATATAATAAACACGTAGCGACTATGCATGCCTGTATATTTATATATATGCACATACAAACAAATTTTTATCTAATGTATGTATCTGCTAAAATATACTGCATACGCACACTCTGCACTCGGTGCGCTTTTATCTTTGTTTTTGTGCACTTTTATTTGTCATATCGCAGCATCAGCAGCAGCAAGTGCACATAAGTACTTAAATATAAACAGCTAGATACTTGCGATTATTGTTCTCGCTTTTATAGTTGCTATCATTTATCTTGCTTTAAGCATCAGCCAAGTTGGCTATCCTTTGTGCTGTCGTTGCGAATGCTTGTTATCATAATTATTTGCCACATTGAACATGAGACAGTGCACATTTTGCTTCATTTTTCAGTTTTTTTTTTGTCAAAGAAATACTAGAATTATTACGTGATGTGTTTTCTTCAATTTGCTTTCAACTTTAAGTATAAGCTAGAATATCTGGTCAAGCTTGCTCGCTTTGCTGGACTATTTTTCTTTTAATTTTTCTTCATATCCATCAAATAAAGCAGCGTAGATACACTATTTATTAAAATTACTTTACTCAATCTGTTTATATTGTACAGCCACAAGTTCGGATCCCTGAAATAACAAAACCACTTTTTATTGCTTTTACCTTTATTTTCGAAGAAAAAGATGTTTTCTTGTCTTAAGTTTTCCTTTCATTGACCTTTTTCATGCAGCTGTGCTTTGTTATTTTCTTTGCATAAACATTTAATAACTTTTTTCATATCGCTCGCTTCGAGGCATCAAAAGCACAATTGCTGCTTATTCATATTTCTCATATTTATTTTTTTTATAACTCACAATTCAACGAAAGGTCGCAAGAGAGTGGCCATAAAAGAGAAATGTAAATGAAATCAGTGAAATTTATTTTTTCTGCAGAGAAAAATTAAGTGTGCGACAATAAACGCTGTCTCAAAAGGTGTCGTCGGCCATGAATTTCCAGTGTTTCTGAAATATTTGTCAAGCACAAAAAGTTCGTTATTATCAACATTTGAAAACCAAGCAACACTACGATATAAAAGAGGTGTTTTAATTATAATTAAATTTAGGATTCTCTATAAAAAATCGTTTAAATTGTACCATAAGCAGAAGAGTGTGAAAGAGTAGATATGAATTACAATTAAATATGAGAATTTTGTTAGTACGAGAAGAGGCTGAAAAGTTGTGAGCCTAAGGTATTAAAATAGCTGAAATAAATGAATATACAAATTTTATTTTTCAGAAACAGCTCGCACAATGCGCGAATGACTCGCACATGGAACATGAAATTCGGTATTTATACTACTAAGGATATAAGGAGAGCAAGACATTAAAGACACTTAAAGGTACTTAGGCTTAAAACTTTTCAGGCTCCCCTCGTAGTACCGTGCTATTTTATGAAACAGCTTTACATCTTGCACCTTCGTTAAATTGATGAATTTTATTAAACTTTTCGGGTAGGTTAATACTAGGGTGATTGGCTTGGTTTTTCAAAAAACGCTTCCAACCAGTTTTCTTGGAAATCTAAAGACGATTTTTTTGAATTATTGATTTTTCGAATATCAGATAAACCGACCGGATTTTTCGCTATAACAAACCGATTTTTTCATTGAATAAAACTTTTAGGATTTGGAAGTTTTTTGCAAGAGCACTACTCAAATACGAAAAAAAATCAGAAAAAATGCAATAAAGTATTAAAGAAATACCAAACGTGAATTTTTCTCTGATTATTGTTATTATTATTTTTTTTTGATATAAAAAACTGTACCCATTTTGCTTTGCGCTTTTCTAGCTATATTTACTGTTAATAATTGTATTGTATAATTATTATTGTATTGGTCATGACTTCATACCAAGATAATCATTTTCACTGGTTGAAATATATAATAAAACCGGTTTATCAGACATTTGTCTGATTTCACACTGCCCGTTTTTAAATATTTGCCTCCAAAATTTTGTATGAGGCAGTCAAGTGCCAGAAATCAGATGGATCAATTGCATGAAATGTCATCTCTCTTTATCGGCAAGGTGCATTTTTAAGCTGTTTCTATTCAAAATTATTTTATTATCGAAGGATTTTGGAGTAGTTAGCAAAAATGTGCTCCGACCGAATAATGCATCATGTCTATCAATTTATGATATTTGAAAGAAATTTGTATTGTAACGGTTTTATTGCAATTTCGAGAAAATATGTATTTTCCCTTTTTAAAATTCATGGAAAACTTCAAAGTAGAATTTTTGGTCTACAATTTTTTTTTTGATAAAAAAAAAAATCGGAAAAAATTACTATATATATTACTTATGATCAAAATCTATTTGTAGTATTCTTTAAAATTTTTTTTTGTTAAAAGTTCTAGATAAAAAAAAATTATTTAGCGATGGAGAGCCACCAAAATTTACCTCGAAAAATTCATCGTATCATAATACGTGTTTCAACTGCATTCCGGTGTAGGCGGCGTTATTCCAGCCTCCCGCGCGACTAAGTTTAGTGTTTTTTTCCCTATCGTCAACACCGAATAAAAATATGCAAACATAATCCGTTGCTAAGTATTTTCTTTTTAATTACAAAATCTTTCAATTTTATAGTAACGAGCACTGTGATTTTTTTTCAAAATTTTTCAGCGCTTTACATACAACCAAAAATTGCAGGCCATGTTAAAGTAGTAATTTAGGCTTTGTTTTAGGAGAAGCTTTTCAAGGCATAAATACACTCGAAGGGTTGCCATTGACTGTTGAGGGGCTGCCGCTGTTAGAAAAATCTTTTCCTAGTTTTAAATTTTGCACGGATCAGGGATCGAATGGAGGTCCTGCAGAGTGTTATTACGCACCTGTAACCCCTCAGCTGCAGCGTCCATCGAATGATATTGCTTTTTATTTTGGTATGGCGTGATATCGCGTAAACAAATTTCTGCAGAAAGTTTTGCCTTCTCGTTACCCCCTTCTTTCCGTTTGTGCGAAGCGGGCAAATTTTTCTGCAGAAAATTTCGGCCCATTTTTGACAATTACTCAAATGGTGCCAGTTATTGCAGCAACAAGACTTCAAATCACCACCTTAAAAACTTTGTGGAGACTACATTACGCCAGTAGCTTACGAATGCTGGAATTTTATTTTTAATAACTGACGAAATGAGTGTGTTCATTGTCAACATTTCACTGTCATGATATTCACTCAAAGAAGGAGTATCTATGTGCACTCATGTTCAAAAAGTAAACATCTCAATTTTAATACAGTAATCAAAACTGAATGTATACAAACAGTGGAAAAGAAAGTAAACGAGTTGTTTGCCAACACGTCTATTTATGTATGTGTATTAGTAAGTAGAAAGGAAAGAAAAAAAAAATTACAAGACGTGAAACTCAGTTGAGTACACTGTCAAGTGATTGGTGGTTGGAAGTTGCCATAGTTTTTGTTACTTATACGCAGTGGTGCACTAAGCCAGCACTTATTTTTATTTTGAGTAAAAGCGCCATGAAAAATCGACCCTATTTTATAGCGGAACGTGATGCTGAATAAAAGCCAAAATAATTAATAAAAAAATTGATTTGTATTGTTTAGTATCCCGTCGAATTTAATTTTTAGTTAAATAGAAGTTAATATCTCCACCCATTATTTGGTTAGCTTACTTTTCAATGGAAAGTTTATGGACTTCATACGGCCCGCAGGCAATGTTTAATATGTACTTTGAAGTACTATTTTTTTAATCTTCCAATCAAGACTGGCATTAAATTAATATGCATAATTATTTGTGTGGGTAATATTCAGCATAGGAAATGCATTGCTTGTCAAAATGTCTGCCAGAGTGGCAGGGTGTCTGCTTTAAATAAACGCATGCCAGTCGATTAAATTTTACTTGCATAGGAGCTTCAAATCAAATCAAATGCAATTGTCTGCATACACAGCACTTATTATTAAAAGCATTCCATTTCTGCTATTGACAGCTGTCTTTAGTCTTTCTATTGCTGCTGACTTATTTCGTACCCAAGCTCGTACATACGCAAAGCAAATATTACACATGTTTTTGCCTGTGATTGTATTGCAAGTGTTCTGGTTGTGTCTTTTAAGTAATTGCTGATAATTGGAATCAGGCGACAGACAGAGGAGACACATGAGCTGCAAGACAAATCAAGTGAAGACAACATAAAACCATAAATTGCTTGCATATATATGTATTTATACATTCATGCATATGTATGTATGCATGTATGTGCCTGTACATGGCGGAGCTTGCTGAAAACGATTTTTCATTTGTTCAGTTCATTTAAGTAAGATTGACTTAATCCTGCACTGGATGGCATGAAATCTGTTTGAATTCTAGGAGTGCTATTGTCTACTCCTGTTGTTGTTTCCATTAAGAAAACCAACTGGTAATCGAATGCAGAACTCACCTGAAATGATGCGGTAAATGCTGAAATAACTTCGTAAGTATGTTCCCATGGATGATTGGGTTCCGGTCGGAATGGTGTTAAAATATACTGTAGTCCCAGAAGTGGTACGAGCAAAAGAGTGGCGCTGTAAAGAAGTGAAAATTTAATTTGGTGGATTAATAAAGAAGGGAATAAAGACATGCGTCAAAAGTGTTGGAGAAATTATTTATCTCATATATATTTATGCCTAAAAGTTGATACTTTGATGAACATTTTTTTTAGTTTTTGAATTTTTATAAATTTTCTAGAAAGTTTGAGATTTCAACTTACATGGTTTTTGTTATAGACTCAACTATATTTTTATAAAAAATTTGGATTAAGGAAAGAAACAATTTTCAAAGCTTGTCGATACATTTTACTACTATTTTTGTCAACACAACTGTATAACTAATGGCATCGTAATGCGCTGTTGTTTGGTTGCTATATTTTTAATAAACGAAAAAGGCGCTTAAATATGAGCTGATTTTTATGGCTTCGTACTGATTTTTCATCCCCAACTTTACTGATTATGTCACTAAAATATTTGGCTACCCTACTCGGGAGTACACCGCCACTGGATTTGTTACCGAAGAAGATGCGATAAAAATTTAATTTACTGTATCGTACATATCAATTACCATTACAGATTTAATGCACAAAACTTACCGAAATGCTTGCAGGACGGTGCGTGAAGGCCCACAGCTATTTTGTATGCTGGCTGGTGCCTTCAACTTCAGCAGCACAACGCGCACAATATTGCATAGAAATAGCAAATTAAGGAACATGGAAATGCAAACAGGTACGACGAATATATAGTCGAAAGGCGTCGAATTCATCCAGCAACTGAAAGGTGTAGAAACGGCAAAGTTATTGCAATTTGTACCAAAAAATTTATATATCTATGTACATACGTGTGTAAGCGGAAAAATAATAACTTTAATTTCCTTTTCTTTTGTATTCAATACATATAATTATTTTTATAAATAAATTCATTGTACAGAGCATACTTACTGTGTTATTTCATCGCCTGTACCGCCGAGACCGCGCGCCAAGCCATAAATGAAAATGACAATTGCCGGCGAACCCCAGCCGAAAGCTATGAGCCACTTCACCAGCTTCTTCTCCGAAATGAATGCGGACACTAGCACTGTGTGCAAGTAGAAGCCTTCACAAAGCATCCATGCATAGTTTGTGAGCAAGAAGTAATGGAGTATTATATGTAGCGCAATACATGTGGGCTGGAAGAGGGGAAAAAGACATATGACACGGGAAAAAACCAAAATAAATAGATGAGAATCAGTTGGCATGTGAACTGTTATTGAAATTACATTTTCCTGATGCAGCTGCAGGAATTAAAAAAAAAAAAAACAAATATGACAAAGCGAAACGGAATTGCCTGAAAATCTTGGCACACGCACATGGCGTGCGTATACGTAACATTTACGATTATTGTGCATACATATTTATTGCCTGCATGCAATTATAGTATGCAAATTCTTCTTCCAGCCTTATGCACTGGGTAAATGGATTTGCACGTTGCAGTTGTTGAATGTAAAAGAAAGTTCCGCTCTTATATACCGACAGTTCTCTGCCACAGGCACACACGCTTACATACGTATGTGAATTGTCTGTCACTTACCGGACTTTTTTGCAGCAGCTCCGTATCGGGCACCACCACCAAATACCAAATCAGCCAGAGTGAGTTGTTCGCTGCAAAGGATGTAAATAAATTCATGTGGAGTGTTATGCGCGCACATTTTAGCGACCTGCAATGAACGGGAAGAGTAGATAATTTATTAGCTACGGGTTAATATTTGAGTACGGGTTTCAGATGCATTTGCCTTTAATGAAAAAAAAATGCCTTAAGATAAAACCATTGCCGACAGTGAAAAATTTTGGAATGATTAAAAAGTAAGACGTTCACAGAATATTTGCATTCGGTTATGACTTTTTCGATGGGTCTTTATACAATTTTAGGAAAATTTGCTTATAAAAGACACTGCAAATATCATAGCCAGCTAATAGTAATGCTTTTCATATCGCTTCAATGACGATAAGGGATTTTTTGATTAGTAATTTATTCAGTATCCGAGTTACTTAGTGCTTTGTTTAGTAGAGCTGGAGAGTTGCTCCACCGTATTTCCTCTTCCCAGCTGGAAGTGCGCAGTAGAAAAACACCCTCCTAAACAAAGTTAAAATTTTCCTAATTGGCAACATTTGTTTGCATGAACTATTTATTTAATTTCCTGTTTGTGGAAGTTAAATAAACTGTATAGTTATTAATAATATATTCAATCAGTTAACCACAGGTTATGACATATACCACATTTTAATTCCTGCATTTGATAGAAAAGATTTTAGTGTTTAAGAATGACAAATTAAATTTCATTGTCTATGGTAATTAGCAAAATTCGAAAAAATGTCTATAAAACCATATTAAAATTTTTAAAACTTTTAATTAGAATATTTAGAAAAATGCTGGCATGCAGTTTTATAGACTACTAAATTTTAGTATAACTAAAACACAGTTTAAAGTTGCTAAATATACCGTTAATTTTTGGCAGTTTGTTTTGTTGACGGTATTACGCCTTTTTTCCATACAGAGTATGCCAAAAACATTTTTTATATGGAAAAAATGAGAAACACCTAAAAAATTTTTTAAAAACAACGGTAGTTGATCAAACTTGCACGGTATTGTACTAAGACTGAATGAACTACAAAAATGAATAACTACTCAACTTTTGTCTAAGAAATCAAAATAAAAACCTCGCAATTTTGATCCAACCTTGTCGAATTTCCCTAATTTCAGTACAATGTTTGACAGTCGAACTTACACGATTTTTCTTACATAACGATCTACTTTACCAGAAAAAATACTAACTATCACAAAATGCCAAATAGACAAAACTTATATTTTCGCCACTTTATACTACTAAATGGCGTTATTATATATTTTATGATATTTAAAGTATTTACTTTTTTTTAGTTTTTCATATATTTATAATTATCTACATATTTAGTTAAAAGTGTACTTACTTAAAGTAGCTCAATATAGCGAGAGAAAGTAAAATTGCCACCAACGATATGCCATAACCGGTTTCGTAGAAAATATTTATGCTGTGCTTCCACTAAAAGTAGAAAAAAGATAATATTTTGCAGTGTTTTAATTGAATTCAGTATGAGTTTAAATGACAAATAATCTTATATATAGAGTATATAATAATTATATCAGGCATGAAGACGAGCTTCACATAACCAATACATGTGTACACTTAAGAGAATTCAACCAACAGAAGCAACTATCAAAAATTATGAGTGAAACGCAGACTTACTCAATTCTGATCGCTTAATATTTTATATCACTCCTCTACGAGGTTACTCCAATATGCAAAATTATTAATCTGCATATATTATTTTACATGCAATATGGTCGTTTTTGCATAAAGCGAATAAATTTATTTTGATATAAAATACCAAATCGTATTTTCAGTTCAAGTCTTAATTTGCATTTGCATATAAATTCAATAGTTAAATCACATTAGTTTTGCACTTAATAGTATATGTACATACATAATTCTAGAATCACTAGAATCAACTTACCTCTAAATCGTCTATATTAACACAGCTCGTGTAATTAGTCCAAGAATAATTCCACACCGGATGTTTGTACCATTCACCATCTCTGCCGCATTCCTTATGCGCATTTCCTACGTAGAGCATGTGGAGCATGTGGGGCATGTGGGGCATGTGTGGCAAACAGCAGAGCAACATTTTGTTGGACATAAAGCAGAATGTGTGGAAAGAATACGAATTTGTTTTAATAAAATTTTAATGAGCTTAATACGCGTATGAGAATGTTTTACAATAGTTAGCTATTCCATTATAAATTTATAAGACATACAAAAACATATATACGTATGTATACATATATGCATCGCTATGTAGCAGTTATTTTTTAGACAATTATTTTTGTTTGACTTATTATAAATGTAGATGTAATTATGCTTATATGTAGCATGTTTATGTATTTACATACCACATATGTATTTATATATATATGTACTCAGCAACAGAGCATAATCAAACCATGACGCTACCGCAAAAATGGCTGGAGTTATTCGTTAGAGAATATTTAATTGTTTTTGCCTTTTGAGCGCACTCCAAGTTTTCGTAGCGATCCTCTCAGGCACTTTTGAACTTTTAGTTGAAGTTAAACAATATCTCCTCTGTGTAAATATGTATATGTTGTTGTGCATTATAACACATACATGCATATGCTTCATTGTAGACAAAGCCATTGTTAGCCACAATGTTGCGCATACGCCTCTCAGCTTCCTTTCTTGTGCTCTACACTGCAGGTGTGTTTCAGAGGGCCATTGCATAGATATATATTTATGACGTAACTATGCGAGCAAAATGTATGCACTTTATTGAGGTTGTAGTTTGGTTATTTCCGCTGCATTTCTTGCAAAATTTTGCAACTTGTAGTGCCATTTATGATGTGCTTTTTAATTACATTCTTAAGTTGTTCTAGATGCATACATTAACAGGCGAAAGCAATATTGTACTTGTTTAAGTTTAGATCAAATTATGAACACTTGAGGTGTTTTGCTTCAAATTAGTTTTTAACACATACATATATGTATTTGAGCATATTTTCAAGTTAATTCAAATATTTTAAAATTAATTTGCATAACTTTCATAGTTTGCCAGATTTACAGCACATATTTTACTTTATGCAAATAAATTTAAACATAATAATGATACTTATTATTGATGCCAAACGAATTCAAGTGTAACTACATTACATAAGCATACGTACATACCCATTTATAAGCTTTAAGGTCAGAGAACGTCAAAAAAAAGTAAATTTTAGGTCTTGAAATCCATAACGAGATATGCAGTATTTATTCATAGAGTTATTAGGATTTTTTTTCGTTTGGTACTTAGAACATGACTTCCAAATAACTTTAAATATTTTGACTTGTACTTTTTGACCAAATAATACCGCTAATTATTTTGTTTCCTTAGATCCAGATGTCCGACAAATTCTGTCGATACTCACTCAATTTTAGGAACTAAGAAAAAAGTCACCACAAAATTTGTCTTCTAACATGAGATACAAAACCATTATTTTTTTATACAATCTCTGCTTAAGCGAAATTGACCTAGTATCCGTAGCAGGTTTTTCAAGGCGAAATTAAATATAATTGCAATGTGAAATTAATTTATGGGCCTTTCTTACGATTCTCGTATAAAGTTTTTTGAACTTTTGATTATAACGAAACTTTTCCAGACTGTGGCGGCCCTTTCGTGATTTTTCGGATTTTTGTGATATTTCTATTCTTCTTCGAGATCTTTCGTGCATTTTTCATTACTTGCTCGGAACCCTTTGGGTATTTTTCAGCAGATCTTTCGAAATATTGTAGAAATTATCGGGCGGAGATTTTATGATGCCATTGGCCAGCTGTTAAAATCCAAAGCGAATCGAGGTTGAGTTTTCATGGCGCCAATTAAACTCGAAAAGTCTCTCTGGCAAGTAGTATGAGAGGCTCTTGAGAAGAAAGGAGTCTACGGTAAGCGCGTCCTTACGATTATAAAATAGATCGTAAAAGGCATTCGAAAATCACTTTTATAGCGGCTATATAGAAATGAAAGCATCCGGCTGATTTACATATCTACTCGTTTAATTGTTTGCGCCATCGGTCATTTGATTTGTTTAGTTGCTCCTTAAATTTTTGTAATCCCTTTAAAGAGCTTTCTTAAGCAAAAATTGTCTTCAAACACTCCTCCGCGTGAATCGCTTATGACTTGAGAGTGCAATAGATTGACGAAAAAACTGTCAATTTCCGGCTGGGGCTTTTGGTGACGCAAACGACAAACAACCAAGGAGATACATGTTCTTTATTACTGGTCAAACACAAATTTTTTTTATGCCATCAGAAGTTTTTAAGTGCAGTCAAATATTTAATTCGAAACTTAAAGCTCAAAAACACCTTCTTTTAATTCAATGACGATACAAATCTTAGCCACTCCATACCTCTAGGAAGTCATAAAACTGCTTGTTTCCTGATTTTTAAGCCGAATTTAGTTTTGGAAATTATGGAAAGACCACGAAAACAAAACCCGAAATTTAAATGCCCAAAAAGTGTAGCGCGTCCAGCCAATAACATATATACATATTTACTAAATGACCTTTCCACATCAACGAAACCGATACCACAGTAACAAAAAAATAATTGAAACCAAATCTCTAAAGTATACGTCGAACGGAAGTGCCATAAAAGTTAAGAGCTATGGTCAGAAGTTGAACAAATCACAGTAAAACTAAGTACCAGGGACAAACAAATAAAACCAAATTTTGTGGACGTGCTGCGTTGGCATTCAAATCCCGGTTCATGAAGAATGTCAGATATCGAATTACTGCGTCAACTATGTACACCAAAAACACGCACTGAACCACACCGGTGCGTCGTTTTTATGAACCAAACAAAAATAGGATTTTATGTTAAGCATTTTGTTTAGTGCAGTGAGGAGAGGCAAGGGAAAAATTCCACACCAAAGCACCAGCGGCAATACAAATCAACTTAACAAGGAAAATCACAAAAGAAAACGCAAACTATTTTACGCCACCGCAAACACGATCTGACCACTAAATGCAATAAAAAAAACAACCGCACAAATGGAGTTTACGTTTCAGTGTATTTGGTTTGGAAACAAGCGGTGAAAATTACCACCACCACCAGCAGTGAGGCAACAACGAAAGTAGAACAGCGTTAGTCGTGTAGAAATACACGAAATGCTACGCTAAATACTAGCCACACCAACCACAATGGAAACCACAACAGGAAACATAGAAAAAGCATCGACACACGCTGTTGCCAAATATACAGCATACATATACATACATATGAAAAGGGCAAAAAGTGAGTCGATAGCCTTGTTAGCAATGAAAAAGTCAACCAACCGCTTGTGTGTTACATAAATATCTTTCTTTAGCTGCGGTCATAATGAGCTAACAAAAGTCAGTTAACCTACAAAAAAGGAAATACCAAAAATTAAAAAAAATGCCAACAAGAACGAAAGTAACACTCAAGCACGCACAGACACAGACAGCGGCGAGCAGTGGGAGCACTTAAAGTGACGAAGAGCATAGAATTTTACGAGTAAGCGCTTAAAGTTGCCAAGTCGCACCGACTCAGCCGAGAATTAGACAGCCAGCCACAAAATAAACGAAAGTGATGATAGCGAAGGTGGCTAAGTTTTTTTTTCTTTTTGTTCAGCTTTAATTTTCCTCTACTATTGTGGCATTAGTAAATACATGGATTAATGCGGTTGGAATATGAAAGCTCTGCTATCTCGAATTACGAGTCGTGTAACCGGAAGTGGCCGGGTGTGTAGTATGGTAGGTCATTAATCGAATAAGGTTTATCTTGAAACAATAGTGCAATATTGAGTGAATAACCTATTCAAGTTGAGCGAATTTGTGAGCATGGGTGTGTGGGAATTTGGCACAGTATATAAATTTCATTAAATAAATGCATCAATGTGTACAGATGTTTAGTGTGCGTGCCGATGTCTGCAGACAGAATCCCTCTCGAGCTAGCATAGACTGTGCAGTATCTATTAGGTACTTATATACTATCTAAATTCCGACCTACTGCTGATACTAACTATTATATGACGCAAGCTTGTGCGTGTGGCTCCATTAGCAGACACTATGTCGTATACGTAATGTGTTTTTATGTAGCCCATTGCGTAAAGCCATTAGGCCTGAGATTTCAAGCATAAGTGAGCAAATCTCTTTAATTGTATGTGGGTGGATGTTTATATGCTTTCACCTAACTAGATTTTCACTTAAACTGGAATATTTTGAATGAAAAAAATTTATTTAAAATGAGCAGTGACTGTTGATGATAACAGATTATTTCACGCGATATATCCTCTTGGCATTACTAAGCTTTTCACAGTTGGATGGTCATCTACACATCTTGCCTCAATACAAAACTGACTTGGTTTCTTCTTTGAGCATGCGGGAGCTTTATATTTCCGCGCAACATATGCCTAGGAAGATTGATTAAACTATTTCTTTACAAACTAGAGCTTGTTTTATTTAAATACAGGTAGAAGGGCCCTTGGGCACATATTCTCTCGATCGGAGGCGTTCATTTTGTGCTCTCTGGCCGGAAGCTATCCGAGAAGCGATTGAAAGAGATATAAGTTGCTTTTTACTGGCTTTAAATGTGAAACCTAATCAAGCTCATAATATTGTGTGTGGTAATTGACAGGTGGATTTTACTAGAAAAGCTAGAGCCGTTGCAAACGACCACCCATGCTGGAATCTGCTATTCACTCTGGACCACTCCTGCTCCAGCGCTTTGCTTAGCATGGCATTCGTAAACATTGCAGGTAATGTTCTTGCAATTTCCTCTGCTATATGGCTAAGAATCACTTATTCACTTCACTTAATTCTCCTTCGACCCGGTGAATAAGAATCTTGGCTCCGATTGAATATGTCTCCATACGTATCCCTCTCAGGGGTGAATGGGAAAATGGCAAAAAAGGACCAGTTAAAAAACTTATTAACGGATGGGTTGAAATTGCTTGGTATTGTTGGAGGAAATATTTTATGTTAAGGTGTGTTCGTCACTTACAACTCAAGTGACTGCTAAAAAGAAGGTAATCGAATAAATTTCTATACAAAAGTGTAATGGGTAAATAGCAGGTACCGAAGGTAAGCGTTAAATACTTTTAATATTTTTTATTTCTAGTTCGATAATTTTTTTTTACTTTTATATTTTGGGTCGAATTTAACCCTTAGTTTCCGATTTTTATTATTTTTTGATCTAAAATAAGCGTTATTTTGGACAAAATTTTTGAGATAATTTCTAACTGTCGTAACTCAGGAAATTCTCTCTACAAAAATTTGATCCCACGACTTCCTAGATAGGAATCCTGGATCTTTTTTTTCGAACTTTTTAGGAAAAGTTCCAATAATAACTGAAAAATCCGGACTTTCATTTTTTTAATCCAGTTTCAACAGTTAAACTCGACCAAATATTTTTTAAGGCGAAATAAAACTTCTTTCCTAATAACCAACAAACCGCTTTTCCAAATGAAAGGTATTTGGTACCAAATGAAAGAGGACTGACATAGCTTTCAAATAGAAATATCTAAATGAATATTACCACCTATTTATATTTGTTTATAGATAATTTAATACAAAACAAATTCATATATGTAAATACCTGACCCTAGGGTTGTTCTATGGTAACTATGGTAACTAGTTCGGCCAAGTTTTACGGGACATGTGTGCTGTTTTCCATTCAATCGAAAACCTTAATGCCGAAAAGTATGTGAAGTACATATGTAAATCCTCCATGCATAAATATTTATACATATGTGTATGTAAATGATGACACGAATGCACATTTTAAAGTAAAAACACTTACAGTAAAAAGTTTTCCACGTATAAAAACTAAAACGCTAATGGAATCGCGAAAATGTCACGTATTAACTACATACAAATAACGCGAAAACAGGCGACAAAAAACACAAAAAAGGAAAACGGGCAAAACCATAACAACGTGACTCATTTCAAACCGAGGGAGTTAAATTAGGTTGCGAAGTAAAAGCGACCACTTTAGTTAATAAGATTGACAAAAGAAATAAAAGTTTATAATCAACGGCAAAAAAATAGACAAAGTATCTAACAAATAATGTTCTGACTTAGAACTTGTGTTTTTCAAAATTATTAACCCACTTCACTGCTAACTACCTTGTTGACTTTATTTGTAAATGGTGGATCTCCATCAAATTCTGTGATGTTTAGTAATTGGTCCGTTAAGAAAGCCAAGATGTTACGTGGGCGAAAAATACTTATAAATGTAGTGGTAATTAAAAAAGGCATCATAACTCATTATTGAATTTTTAGACTAAACGTTATTTGCAAAAAAAAAATCATTGATTTTTTTTGCTGAGTTTTAGCAGCGGCTATTGATATAGAACAACGTAAATCAACATATTAATTTTGTTTGTTTATTTTTATTTTATTTATTTGTAATTTAACTGGGTTTTATATGGTCTTACAAATGCCTATTATGTTAGTTTCTTTTTTATAATATACCACATTCGTGCATAAAAGGAACCAATGCTGTAAGTGAAAGAAAGACACATACGACAAGGAAAAAAACATATGTGTAATGTAAGCCACGAACCATTTCTGCTTTACATGGTTTGTATGCTGCATCCGACCTTTGTCACTTAGACCGCAGCAAAAACGCTCGCTCGCTGTGAACTACTTGCCAATTAGGCATTTTGCCATTCTCATGGAGGCAAATTTGTGGAAGTGAACGAAGTGAAGAAAAGACAATTGCACCCAAAAAAATCGTACATATACATAACGTAAAATCGCTTAAGGTGTTAGCCTACAGGCGGTAAATTTTTTTTGTCCCCTATGGTTGCCAACTTCTTGTTTTGCTGAGCACTCAGTTCGTTGGTTTACATTACGTATTTTTCCTGTGCGCACTGTTTTTGCTGTTTTTGTTTTTTGCCCATGTTGTTAAGGGTCCTCATTTAAATACTACATAAGTACAAATATACATGGATTGTGGTTTGGTTTGGGGTTTGTTTATTCTCTCATTAGTTTCTATTAAAAAAATCGATTTGTACATACATAAATACATACTTATGTACATTAGCCTGGGCCGAAAATCCGCTTTTTTAGAATTTTTATTGGTATTAGCAAAAATTTGGTGAGTTATGCTCTAAAAACAGTCTCTGTGAAAGATGCCGAGTTTCGGTCAATATCTTAGGCTCGCCCAAGTCCATCAAAGTTCAATGTGCTCAAAAAATAAAAATTAATAAATACATTAATTAATTAATTTTTTTTTACTAAAATTGCAGGTATCCTCGAAAGTATTAGTCCTACATAATTTGGTATTTGGTATGGCGTAATTTCCATCCTTCTTATGCTGATAACTGCAGAACTAAGTTTGCGAGTAATGTGCCTATTTGGCGTGCCCTAAAGGAATTTTACGATTTATTTACTTCTAAATTAATTGAGCTTTCACTATGTAGATGTGCTTTTGTGAGAATTTTAAATTCGATTATTCAATAAGCATCTAGTGTTAATTTTTCGTTAGCCTGTAAGGTACTTTGTACTGTAGGTTTGAAATGGAATAAATAAAACTTAATACATTTTTACTAAACCCTTGAAATTTTGCTGAAAATAATGTACACAAAACCTAAGTACTTTATAACACCAAAAATATCGAACTCTTTAAACTATGAATGTAGTAAATCAACTCACTTAAAACTCTATAATTTTAGCTAATTTTGAAATTCATTAAATTTTATCTCCCCAACTGCTAGACACTTTCTACATTGTAAATGCGTAACATACCAGATAAGTAAACTGTACACAACAATTAGTACAGCCTAATTTCCCGGCATTGAAAGAATTCAATAAAGAGAAAAACCCCCAGGAAATAATTCAATTACCAATCATCAATCAGTAAATCAATTAAATTAAATTAGTTCATTTGATTAAATGTTTAATGAATTTTACCATACGTTCATATCGCACACCGTCTTCAAAAGAGTCACAACTCAATATAATACGTTTGTCAGAAAATGCGAAAATCTACATATTTCTTAGCACATAGTAAATAATATGGGCAAGGGCGACTTTACTTTAGGTTTTTTTTAAACAAATTATAACAAAAATTGCTCCAGCATTTGCTGCAAGGTAAATAAAAGCTCTGTGTACACTTTTAGTGCATAATCTCAAAAATGCCAAATTTCGAGTTGTGACTCTTTTGAAAACGGTGTGCGATATATTAAACCTCGGCAGCAAATTAATCAAATTGCCATGTTAAAAAAAAAAAATAAATCACGTTTAAATTTGGGTCGTTAGACGCAACTAATAATAGGATTAAACGAAACAGTTTGAATTAGGCAAAGGCAATAAGCATCGCAAAACAGATAAATGAATTCATTACATCTGATAAGTATAAACTGCTGGTACTTTTCCGAAGCTCAACTACAACACCCATAGCACCCAACTCAATACGTTTCCAGCGAAAGGAGAATATATTTAAAATAATTACTTAACGTTCCTGGTTTATTTCGGTTTATGCTTGCTATCATTGAGGATTTGCTAAGCGGATTTGTTTCGGTATAACGGATTAGCTATTTGCAATACCCAGCCCAGCCCAGGCCATTTTGTTCGATTTAACTTTTCGGTTTTTTTTTTGTTTGAATGAAAAGGAATTGGCATACCCATTTCGTATATTTTTTTCATTTCAGTTTCTGCCACTTGTCTGCTGGTCTGCTGATGGCGGTTGAGTTTTCATTTCATTTTAATGCGCATCCCACACAGTGTATGTATATAACAGCAAGGACGAAGTGTTAAGCGCAAGGAGACAAAATGAGTTTTTATATTTTCACACACACACACACACTCGAGTGGTAAATGAACTGCTGCATTGTACTACATACATATATATGCAAGGGAAGTATATCTGTATATTCTCACTATAAATTGCTGTTGACAGTTTTATATGATCCGTTTTGAGCGTGTAATCGGTCGAGTTTAAACTTGCCAGCTGCCAGTTTCCTTTTCCTTTTTCATTTTTGCAATTTCCCGTTTGCGCAAAGTATGGGCGCACTTATGTATGTACATAAATATTACTTATACCTGCTACATGCATGCACACACACACACACACATATGTATGTACGTACTTACTTAAAAAAAGCATATTTAATTTCTTACTTAAATTTTGCTTTGATGTTGAAAACTTACTTGTCGGATCGAAGCCGAATATGAATTCCGGGCAACGTTCGTAGGCGGAAGTGCCAGCAGCTGTATCCGGCCAACAGAGCCAACCGTCAAAAGTGCCAGCGCAGTACAATTCACCTGGTTGGAAATACAAAAGATGAACAATACATATATACATACATATGTAAATACAAAAAAGAGAAAGAAGAAAGTGCTGTGGGTGGCTTTTTTTTTGACAAGTTAACTGCGTATGTGAATTTAAAAATGTTGCCCCAGTTTGCCAAATACGCGAGTACATAAGCGCCTAAAAGTGTACACTACATCGTGAATGTACATACGCCCGAATGGAGGCGTTTGTTTGTTTTGGCCGCATAAATAAGCACAAAAAACGTTGCACTGAAAATATTGTTTTTTATTTACTTTTTGCTCCCGTACTATGCTTTGCACTTTTTTAAAGTAGCTGTTTCGCTAACCACTCAAACTGGTTTTTGTTTGCAAATTAATTACCTACGTACAAAGCTTTTAGGCTACTTTTTTTTTTTTAATTTAGTTTGTTTCGCTTAAGGGTTTAATCCTCGGCAATAAAGTTTGCATTATAAACCTTTTTTTTTAACGGTTTTAATGGAAAAATAGTTAGTTCATACAAAAAATTACTAAAATTTATAATTTCTCTTTCGAAGATCAGAAAATGTCAACATCAGACTAGCTCACCGCAAGCTGCATCTACACTGGCGCTCAAAACTATGTGATTTATGTGTTTGTTTGATACTCAGAAAATGGTTTCCCGTAAAAGTTCTGATGTTGAATGTTTGTTGAGTTTTTCAAAAGTCTGTAAAAAGTTTTGAAAGTTTGATTCGTATGGAATGGTTAAAGCATGAACAATATTTTTAAAAAAATATAAAAAAATCTATTGTAATTATTTAAACACCATTCATCCAATTCTGACTGCCAGTGTATATTAGGGTGCCCCAGATTTTTTTTTTGCAAAATTCGAAGCGTATAGTCCCTTAGTTTTATACATATAAAGCTTTATTGGAGGAGGACCATAGTGACTCATGTTGCCTTGAAGTTGAGCTCTAGGCGAAGAATTTGGTGTGAGATTTCTACACAGGGAACATAAGATTACGACGGTAAAGCCCAATTTGTATCAAATATAAGTTTCTGGGTTTTCAATATTTAATGGAAATATATAAATATTAAAAAGCCATTTAATACTATTTTTAGCTGGTTACCATTTCATCCAACTCAGCAACAGCCCACCTCTGCTCGGGCGAACGATGCCCTTCTCAAAAAAGGCGGACAGAAGCAACCATTCCATCTCAACTAAATTAAGGGCACCACTAACTTCTCCTCTAGCAGAAAAAGCACACAACAGAGACACTCAACATGTGTAACTGCTTCAGTCAACATTAAATATACCATGGCACGTTCTGACACGCTGATACGGGAGGTCTTATGATTAGTTCCTCTCACAAAAGTTGAACATACAGGGAGGCCTGCAATCCAAACACCGAATGCCTTCTGCTCTCTTACCATCCAGCTAGCAAAACTTTTTGAGATCGCTGCGGATGTACACATGTCCAGTTTGATGAAAACCAGCATACCAAGAGTTTATCTAAAGCCACCCACCAAGCTCCACGTGCCGTCTGGTCAACTCACTAATCAGAAGGAAACAGGAGGATTTCGTGAGTAAGCAAAAATACATTCTCTGAGTGAAGTAAATTATCTGGATTTCAAAGAAGAATCGTGCAGATTGCTAAGAAGACAAGCGATGTACGAAACCCTAGAACCTCAACAAAGACACACTGCCGCAAAACCACAGAGTCTAAACTCGGTATTCGCTAAGGAATCAGAAGATCGGCGGATCATAAGACTCATAGAGGAAAACAGTGAAAAAGCACGAATGGCACTAATGGAAATGGATCTAATTAGTAGTGGTAAAACTAGTGCTGCAAGTTAAGCAAGACAACGCAGGTCCACCCTATTTTGACATGGACGCTGTCTGGTGTCCTTGTTAGTAAGTTGCCTTTGACGATGGTCGATCTATATCAGAAGGAAACAGGACGGTACAAATTTGAAATTGATAAAATATACCAAATATTTTGGGTGGTCGCTCAAAGTGGTTAAAATCCCAGTTATCGTATAACGACCGAGGAAGAAAGCTTGGGTACCGGTCCGAACCTCGGAACCAGCGGAAGTTTTTGAATTGGTCTCAGGAGTACTTTAGTATTTTTTTAAATTCCATTTTCATTGTGCAAAAAAATATCTTAATGATCTGGGACACCCCCTTATGTCAAAAGACTTTTTCTTAAAAAAAATTCTTAAGTAAAGAACTTAAAAAAAAAATGTTTGAAACGTCTTTGAGCGCTCCATTTGATTTTATTACAGAGGAGCTCGACTGTTTGAAAGCAAGTACTACCGAAAACTGGGCTTAAAGGTAATTCAAGTTAATCCCCTTGGAGAAACGATTGTTAAAAATTGCACTAAATTTTTACAAAATTCTAATCACTTAAACCCTCCATAAATTAGGAGATTCATACCGACGACTGTACAGCTTTGTTTCTTTAGGGCATACATACATCTATGTATGTACATTTGAAATGCTTTACTTTGCTAAATGCCATAATAATATAAATTTCAGCCCTTTTTTTTAGCAGTAAGTATGTAACCCTTAAAAAATTGTTATTTAATTAAAGCATTTTTCAAATTTCCGCTAAACTCAGCCAACTTTTGCCTGACCTCAAACAAAGCGACCGACCGACCACACTTACACATGCATTAGTACAAATCCACTTCTACGCCTTTCCTCATTTCGACTCACCTGCCGCAAACTTTGTTGTGGTGCTATTCAGCCGCTCATAGCATTCATTCCGCAACACTTCGAAACTATCCGGCTGCGTCTCCGCGGCGCTTTCATTCTCCGCTCTGGCAACGTTTCGCACACCACCACCACCAACACCATCAACTGGCGCCACATCCGCTTTCGCTGGGTCTACAATGGCAGCGGATGTTGGTAAGCCCGCCAACATTCTAGCTGCTAGCGTTAAAGTGTTGCTTGTTGCCGTTGCTGTTGTTGGCGCTGCCAGTAAATTATCTGCATTGTGGGTGTGTGTAGCCGCTGAAGTGGCGGCTGTTAAGCCAGCTATACACAAAGTGTGGGCGAGTAGCTGCGATTTGCCGGAGAGGATATTCATTTTTTGCTTGGGTTTTAGCTTTTGTTTGCTTATTCGCTTGTAGATATGAAGCTGGTGATTTTGTAGCTAATTTTGTTGCTTTTGTTGTCGTCGTTGGTACATTAGCATTGGCCAGGATGGCAGGTGTTAAGGTCACTGCTGTGAACTAACAAAGGTGTAGTAGCAATTGCGATGACAGATACTGACGCGGCACATCCTTTCGGCAACGTCTAGTACATATTTACCAAGGATATATGGACAGCGCTGGTGGACTGCTGTTTTCACGAATGCGTTGAAGGCTGTGTGCTTTAGTTAGTATATGTATGTGGTATGTATTTATGTATGTAGTGCACGTGTTTCTCTCCTGAGGTACGTTTAGATGTTAGTAGCCTCTTTTAGCCTTGAGTCCTTTATTGATTCGTTTTCGAACAGCCTCAAATATTTAATCTTCACTTTTCCCAAATTTTTATGGTGTCCATTGAAATTTGTTGTCTAGTGAACTGCGGATGAGATCAATAAAAAAGAACAGTATAAGAAACGAATTTAATCTTTAATATATATAAATCGAGTACAGTTATACATATTTCGAATCTCTATATTAATTCTGGGAAGCAATTTTGGTTACCAAAAAAAAAAAAACATGCTGAAATGCGACCAAAAGTGACTAAAATTTTAGTAAATAAAACAGTAATGATCCGTCATGAATTTCTTCTCTCTACGATAATTCTAAAAGGTGACGCTTGTTGACGATCGTTGATTTCTTCTTTTCTTAGGTCAATATAATATTCTTAAGTATAATAATACAAAAATTCTTATATTTTGAAACCTTTCGATTGATCCTAGAAAATAGTATTGACCTCAAAGGAGAAGAAATCATTTTCTTACTTGTTATTCCTATGGGAAAAAACGACTAATGCGGCACCTCTTAGAATTATTCCATAGAGAGGGTAGATTCATGGAGGATCATTCATTTACTAAAATTTCAGTCAGTTTTTGGCTTGGTCTAATAAACATGTATCCCTTGATAACTCAGATGAATTCATGTGCGAGAGATGAATAGCGAAGCAGGTAATACTCGGCCCAATAAAAAAAAGAGTCTACAGCGACTTTCTCGCCAGTTTTCTCGGTCGATGACTGAGTCGACTACTCGCCAAACTGTTTCTACGAAACGTACACTCGGCCGATCTACTGTATTGCCAGACTACGCGTTGGTGTGATGAAGACATTCGAGTACTCACGAACCGCTCTAATAGGTTTATTTTGTGATCAACACTTGTTCCGGTTCTGTTTTTAAGATTAAATTTTAATAGAAACCACCGAGCTATTCAAGCGGAATAAAAAAAAAAATGATCCAGACAGCTTAAAAAAATTTAGTGTGCATAAAAAAAGTTCATATGCACACACATACATGCACACATATTTAAGTAAAGAGAATATATTTACCATCGAAAGCAGAATCCAGGTTAAAGTAATTAGGAAACCGAAAAAAACGTTACTAGTACAACAACTAAAATTACACAATTTCCAATGCTTTCAACTGAATACACGTGCAAATAAACACTTGTAATTGCATACTGTAGTTTTTTTAAGGCTACAAAAAATTATTGCATTAAAGGTCAATAGCAGCTCGATTTAATCAGATTTTGGTTAAACAACCACATACGCCTAACAATTGTGAGTTACATGCGGGTGGGCGCTATTTTTGTGGGTTTTCCACAGTTTAAAGCTGACAAATATGAAAATATATATATATGTACGGTTACCAGATTTCTGTGGGAAAAATTGGGATATTTCTAAAGTGTCGAATGAAAACATACAATTTTGTTTTTAGAATAAAAGGACATAATATCGTTCAATTAAACTTCTCTGCATTTGCCCACAAAATTGAAATTTTGAAATATACAGTGGGGAGTATTGATGGTGATTTTTGTTAAATAGTTGCAGAGTTTTTAAAGCTAAAATATTTTGTTATTATTTTATATAGATTAATTTAATAAATTTTCATTAAAATTTCGATATTTTTAATTCGATTTTTTAGAAATTTTTTACCCTACTAAATTTTAGTATGATAAGTCCAAATTTTAAGTGGCTGGAAAATCGGATTGATTTTTTTACGGTTTTTGCGGGTTTTTCATATAATAAGTGCAATTTATAAAAACTGATATTGATTTTTTTTTCAATTTCTTTGTTTTGATTTTTATGGTTTTGGTTAAAGCATTTTATGAAAAAAATAACAAACAAATTTTGACTGTTAAAATCTTGCACATATTTAACAAAAATCACCATGTACTGATCACTGCTTCCCACTGTAGCAGATATTTTTCATATCCATGAATTTGTGAAGGAAACAGGTATTATTTTTTATAATTTCACTTAATTCACGTTTTTATCGTTTCATTAAAAAAAAAAACGTAACAAATAATTATAAAGCCCTTAAAGAAAATTAAAGGAGGAGTGATAGAAGCATAACTAAGGGTAATAAGCTTTTTTTGAAAAGAGTTCATTTTGTAGCCAAAGAGGCCCATTTCGATGCACAGGAAAGACTATCCAAAAGAACCTGTCTGAACATGTCCTTAAACCATTCTGATCGTTTGGCGAAAACAAGAAGGCCTTCCAGTGTAACGTTGCTTCAACTGTCCAGGTCCTCGGATGAAACCGTTCCCCAGAAACAGGAAGCGCATATCTTGAAGTGCAGGCCTTTTGCAAAGGAAGTCTTTAAAATATTCTACCTGCACAGAAATTGCTGTACTTAGATCATAAAACAGCTAAGCTGATAATTATTTTTCCTATTGCCACTAATATTGTAACATAATTACATACATACATACATATTTAGGTAAATATTTCGATGCAAAATCGTCTTTAAATTATTTATGTCGAGGTAAAAGTACGAGTTTTAATTGAGTACAGAGTGTAGATAGTTTTAAACATACACAGCCTAAAAGTATACCCATAGATAGAAAATTTCTACTTAATTAAACATATGTATGGATGTGACTCTTCACATGCAGATGAAGCGTATTAAAATTTGCAAGCTTCCAAACTTGCATCTATCAAAAAGCTAGTGAATAAATTAACTAAAATATTCAAATCGCCCTTGACGAGCTAGTGATGATAATATTAGTTTAATTTGCTATCATACGCTGTACGGCTTTACTCGATGCAAATTAAGTGAAAATGTATCTGCCTTTATATGTAAATAAAATTTTATCACTTTTTGTTTTAGTATTTGTGTACATATGTGTGTAGGTTAGGCAAAATTGATTTTAGATTTTTTTTTTACATACATATGTATACATATTATTACGCAAATAATTTATGCTTATTCTACAAATTTAAGCTTAATTGGAAATATTCATAAATAAAAAAATCCAAAATTTAATTTATTCTCTGCCTGTTTTGTTTATTTAAGTTTTTTTTTATGTACGCTTTTTCGCTGCATTTTCAATTAACACATTCTCAAATACGCCGCTGCACGCTTGAGTTGCATGCCACACATTTACAGCTTAGCGATAATTGCTTTGAAGTATTTCGAATTTTGACTTTTCCCCTCGTTTAGTTTTCGCTGATATTTTTCCACCTCTTTATACTTCCCTTTTTTCACATATCCATATAGTTTTTTTCTGCGGTGTACTGGCTAGCAGTGCGCGCTACCGTTCCGCAGGGCCTCGGGTCAAGCCGGGTTCAAGCCAACATAAAAAAAGTAAAAAAAAATTTTTTTTTCTAATAGCGTTCGCCCTCGACAGCTTCTGATAAAATACAATCGCCGTTTGGAGTCGGCGTAAAACTGTAGGTCCCTCCCCTTTGTGTGACAACATCAAGGCGCACGCCACAAATCGGAGGTGAAGCTCGGCCAAACACTAACATATCGAGCCCTAACCGCCAAAATAACGTAAGCGACACTTTTTTCAAAATTTTCTTTTTGATGCAGAAATATTCCTAGAGCATCTAGATGCATTTCTGCATTAAAAAGAAAATTTTGAAAAAAATGTCGCTTACATTATTTTGGCGGTTAGGGCTCGATATGTTTAAGCGCCAAGCTATTTTTTTTTATTTTGTAGTTTTTTGACGCTTTAATGATGCTCTTTGCTGTTTGTTGCTGTCATTTGAATGCGTTTTGCATTTTTAATTGTTAATAAATTTAATTTCGTTATTGTTACAAAGTAAGCTGCGTGCAGCGGACCACGTAGGCTATTTTTATTTAAAAAAAAAAAAACTATTAATGAACTACAGTTGCAGATATGCACATTTTTTTTGTTGTTATTTACAAAAATTTACACAATTTTTCATTCATTACAAAATACGAATGAATAACGTTTAAGCTGCTGAGCTTCAAGTGATTTTGCATCGAAAAGTGCTTAGCGGAAGTAATCAAGGCTCGATTTATTACATCAATAGCTATCGATAAGTAATCTTAATTGGAATTATAGGCAATTTCAGAATATTAAATTAATTCGTTATTATTGTGGAAAATGTCCAGTAAACTAAATCGGTAATATTTATTGCATTAAAATTGCAAACTTCATGGCATGAATGAATTAATTAAGTGAATGCGTGTGTGTAAATATGTATGAAGTATTAAGTATGCATCGATAAGTGTGCTAGTATGCAATAAATTTGCGCAAACAGTGTGAGTATAGGCGGAATTAATTACGATGATAGCCTACAAAAATCAAATACATTTGGTCATATTTTCCTATGGCTTAATTATCCATAATGTAGCGGTTTAAATAGCTATCATTCAGGTATTAATCGATAGACGTATGTAAATATGCATTTATTCAGCTGAGCGCTTCTTGGGAGAATGATTTAAATTTAATAATTTTTTTTTGTTGTACAGTATTCCCCAGTTAATTGCTCTTCAAAAATTGCCAAAAATTTCTTCTATTTTCGATGGAACATATTTATAACCATTTAAGCGGGGAGACAAATTGAGCGGGGCATCAGGAAGATATATTCGCGAGCAGACCAGCGAGGCCAGCCATCATCGACTTAGTACGTATGTAAGAGAAAATCTGACAAATGAAAGATTCCGTTCAACTAATTACATTTATAGGCAATGCTGATTCCAATTTCCATTCAGTGAGTCATTTTGTTGCGTATTTACATATTATCATTATTTTTAATAAAATTCTACGAAGACAATTATAATTTTTGTTTTCTTCCATTAGACTTTATTAAAAAATACATAAAAGTTGCCAAACAACTCCTACAGAATCATTGCCAAACCAAATGGAATGTATCAATCAGGCATTAT